ACCTTTTTTACGATTGAGAAATGAACTTGATGATCAGAGTCGACATTCTAAAACTTCATACCTGATATAACACGCAAATTGATTATACATCTTTTTGTTTCGAAATGTGAGTGAAAATGCTTATTACATTGTAATAAACGTTGATTCAGCTTGTGTGATCGGAAACTATGGAAGCTACTGTAACAATACATGCCCTGGCAACTGTAAGGATGGGGTATGTGACCAATATACCGGAGACTGTGGAGGTACGTATATGGTAATAATATGTCAAACTGAAATTCGGCTACGAGAATGGACATCTATATAAGGAATCCTACCGTAGTCAAATATATTTTCAAGAATAATTTAAGAAGAATCGATTATTTCTTCGCTTTGTATATCATTAGAAGTAACTGTGTACAGCTTAGCCTTTCAATCTTTTACAAGAATGTCGGTTTATTATTCAATCCATAGCCATATTTTCTAGCCTCTGTTATATTTCTGTCAAACCTGAGCTCTACTACCATTATTTTTATCTTACCATACGGAATTTCCTTGTCCTACTATGTTGTGAAGACATCCGGGAAGTGCAGACCAGTGACATTTGACATACCATGCAAAGTTTCAACTTGTATAGGAATTCTTTAATGAAAATGTTTAATGTTGGCTACCATTTATTATATTGTAACTGACACTCACGTAAATGCAAACATTTACTTTTTTATTGTCGTCATTGTACATACATCCAGACTGTCAGGTGTATTATATCAGTCAGTAGTCCAACATTTTTGATCTCGGTGATGGACCCAACCCGATAAACATTTACCTTAAGTATGCAGATTCGGTAAATATGTCATTGTGTTGGACCAAACACATTGGAAAATTGGCTTCACTGTCGTCTAATTAGGTGTATAACAGTTTTACATTGATGAATTGTTTAGAATGTCAATTCATTACGTCGTTGAAAAATAGTCTATGACTGTCCCTGGCAAAGACAGGTGTACCGCATACCTGACTCAACATAATTAGATAACCGATTATTATTCATACGCTACCTACTTGAAGAAGTAATCCCATGTACATGGACATTCAAAAAGAACTAGATCAACCAGGAACAACAAAAAAGATCAAACAAGAACAAAAACTAAACAAACAAAAAATGAAAAAACTGAGTCCTATAGTTAGGCATTTTTAAATTAGAGGTCTTGTATTGCAATTTTTTTTTTATTTCTAAAAAGACATTACAATTTAATGATTTCTACTTAAGTGTAGGTTTTCAAACGTCATGTATCTTTCATATATAAGGATAAAACAAACGGCTGAGCAGAGTGTCCACTTGCCAACTTAGTAATTACATATTAAACTTATGGCATATTACATTTGTGTATTTGAAATTAAGGATTTATTGCTGATATAGATAGGCTGCAGTGGTCTGGAATGGAAGAGAATACGTGAATTGTTGCGAATTTACGTCCGATCATTAAATCAAACCCCAGGAAGGAAATCATGAACATTCTTTCATTCTTCTTATTAATATTGCCTTAGGTGTTGAACTCGTTCATATCGTCTCATGACCATAATATATTTCCTTTCACCATATGTAACACTCCTACCTGTGTACAAGGATTTATTTAATGTTCCGGACATATATATCTTACACAGAACGCTATTTAGCGACAGTTTTGTATCGAATGAAAAATTGATTTTTTTATATATAGAGGATTAGCATTACGTTTCAATAAAAACATATTCCATGTTTTGCGTCTTCATTTTATATTCATATAATTTGTACGGCATCCCAATATTTTGTTCTAAAATCTGTCTCACAGCCCACAGCTAACACAATAAACAGAATAGCATATGCCTATCAGCATCACTGATCCCTCTCAGACCAGGATCCCCAACATCAACACTGCCTGCATAGCCCGCCTGACGTCTTGTCTGCACGTCCTGGTAGCTGACCGTACCCCTGGTAGTTGCTGTTGCAATGCTGGCGGGCCCCGTTGCATACCAGTCTGTTGCAGTCTTTGCAGGTTTTTGGGTAGCCTAACTTGGTTGTCTGCCCATCGTGTGAAGCTATAATAAATATGAACAAAATATCATAAACACTCATGGACATCCATACATTAATCCAACTAAGACATTCCTTAACTAACTAAATAATTTACCATCAATTCTACTTCCTTTTACAAATACTAAACCAAATTGTACATATACCCTACAAACGTATTAAATTCTAGGATGCGTGACCATTTTCTTCTTATAATATTAAAACGCACCTATCACCGCAACCACATATGCTACTGAGTGGCTTCCGTACTTTTTACACCTGCGCGCACTCAACCCTAGCACAGGTAAATACAACTACTACTCGGGACATCAATAGATAAACTTCTCGGAAAAAAATCACGTTACTAAGCGAAATATACACTTAAAGGCAACTAAAGTACTTGTACATATCACCACACTATTTTACTATAATACTACATAAATCCTTATTACCTAATACTGTTAATTATGACATTTAAAACCAATACACTTGTAAACTATAACAGCAAATAGTTTCGCTCGAGTGGACACGCATCGATAGATAGATTGGTTGACCGGCAGTAGGGACAATTAAAATATGGGACGAAATAGCCAACTAAAACAACAATTTATGAAAGATAAAAAGAATACTTACCCCAGTCAGATATCCGGACTTCATCACACACGAATTATGGCCGGGAAAATAATCATAAACAGCTCTGCCAACAATGGCCACTAGTCTCACCTGTCCAGTCCATGCACTACCCGTCCTTCTTCACCCGCACACACACACGCACACGTGACTAATTCACTCACCATTCATAACAACAATTAGATGTACCTGCGTTCGTGACAATCACCAACCTGTGTATTGTAATGAGTATTCAGCAAGCAGCAAGTAAAAAAATAAATCGATCTTTCCATTATATGATGGTTAACTTATTTTTGAGGACAAGTGAGGCTTGCTGGTCCGAAAAAAAAAAATCAACAACACCAAACAAAAGATATGATGTTGCATTTTATATTTCTTATGACATGTAATTGAAACTCGGAATATATGTGGATATGATAAACGCTTAGTTACAACGGAAATTACCGGGGGATGCCGAATAAGGGAATAGTTTCGTAGATGTGTATAAACTCAATATTTTGTTTGAAATTTGGGCATGATATTATCAGGTTGATGTAAATATACGTTATATGTAATAAAGGAAGTTCAACGTTAATTGGCACGTAGTCATTACTACATAAAATGTCATTACATTGAAGAAGATTTCAAATGTCTTCAAGTATGAAGAAATGATAAGTAGTTATATATACAACATTTATATGGATACAAGACTGTATGTCCCGATCACTGTAACGTAAGCAATCAGGGAAATGGAACGTGTAGAGGTACGTAGATCATCCCAAGCCTTGGGATATCAATAATTAATGTCAGTTACAGGAAAAAATATACGGGGTACTAAAACAAAACGTGAAGGTAATAAACTTGTAAAAGGAATTCAGTTTGTTAAGTGGGAAGTAATATGTGGACAAATGATTTTCACGCACACGCTTTTACATTAGTTAGGAGAATAAGATCAGGTGTTATTGAATGATAAGCGTAGTCTTCGCCTTTCTATTCATTCTAGATCAAATTCGCCATGTAAATCCTAGTCGTTCTCAGATACATTACGTCCCCAAAACTACAAATTTAAGTTCATAATAGAGCGGCCACAAGGCTCACTTACTAGCATCGTATACACAAAAATTTTCCAATTGTAAGAAACTATTAACTAGGTATTCACTATTGTAATACATTATAATCTAGTCATCACATTTTATTAACCTCTATCACCATGCAACTTAATAGCTAGATAGGGTACTGTTTCTGCCACACTTAGGGACACAACGTCAACGTTCCCTTTATTACATTTTCCATTTCTCAGTATCCATGAATGCCAACAATTGAGCTAAAGACTCAATACTCCGTCGACATTTTCAAGATTGTGAGGAAGAATTTAAGCATTATTTGAAAGTTGCTAATTTCCCGATATATTTTGATTTATTTTCGTACATTTTTGTAATCGATATAATCCTCGTTAATTTATGGTATGTAATACATTTTAATAATATTAGTATCTTTTTGGTATATTTCTTGTTTTTTGGAGTTCCACATCTATGCTTGAAGTAACTTGTTTGGCCATGATATTTTTATCGGTCGAAAGCTCTCAATCCGTTCTGCAAAAAGTGGTAGGTAGCCAGCAGTCAAAGGCAGCTCATATGTACAGTTTGCTGGTTTTTGTTGACTACTATTTTAAAACCACATTACATTGAAACAAATAATAATACAAAATATCACTACACTGGCAATAAATAGTCGGAAAGATCGCTATATTGATTTCATGGGGAATATTATATTTCGCTGTTTGACGTGTTTGGTACTATCTAGTATGCATAACTCTCATGACTGCGTGGATTTTTATTTTGTTGAATTGTTACATTTGACATGTTTTAATTAATAGTCTGCTAACTTTGAAAAGATGAAACTAAATATTGTATTAAAATGTTTTAGATTAATGTAGTCATTATCAATATAACCACTATAGTTTCAGATTGCATTACTGGATTCCATGGCAGTACTTGTAGTCAAACGTGTCCAAGTAACTGTAAGGACAATACATGTATCAAAACCAACGGATTTTGTACAGGTAATTTGTGATGTCACATACATATTGTATTTCTATTAAATAGTTCGTGGTTGACATACGTAAGTTCTTTATATTTCTTATCTCATATCTGATACACTTGAAAGAGCACTAAAATTAAAACAATTTGAAAAAACCAACTTGTGAATAATGCCTGTTTCTTCAATTGAATTTGTTTATTTGTAATATATGGTGCTTAAATGTTATCCTTGAATATGTATGTATTTTGAACATTTTAATCCACTATCATAACATCATGTATTTACAGTATGTCACAAGGTTTAACCTGATTTTAATTTTCAGCATGCGTTCAAGGAGTATATGGCAGTGTTTGTGACCAGATGTGTACGGGGAACTGTAAGGACAATGACTGTATCCAAGGAAACGGGTTCTGTACTGGTATGTATCGTTGTTAGCGCCCATTTTCGTGATGTGATAATTAAGTATGATTTGAACGACAGTATGGAACATCTTGTAATTAATCGGTGAACAGATTTAGAAGAACAAACAAATGATATCTAATCCACATATAACATCGTGGTGACGTGAAATAATATACACCTAATCAACGGCATGTTACCATTGTAAATCTTTTATGGTATAAATAATGGTAGTAATGGTAGTTTAGGGTGTATCAGTATGACGGAAAACAAAAATAAGTTAGCCAAGACGGGAACACAGTTTGTTACCATGTCATATGTCAATAGTCTATTGGAAAAGCTTACCAAGAAATGCGATATTCTCAAAATTTTGATTATTTCGTCATCCCTTTATTCTTTTTCATGGATACTCTTCAGTATAGTTCACAAACGTATATTAGCACCGCCATTCACGTTCTTGGAAAAGTAAGTTCTCAAAACAAGAGAAGACAGTTTAGTATGGAGTAAGGTTATGTACAGAATGCAAAAAAAGCAAATGTTGTTGTAGAACAAATGCTTTCAAAAGACGGTGTTGAAGTTGGATTCCTTTTAAATCTATCTACCATAGATTCCACTTATTGCTTATAGTGAAATCATCTCTGTCCGTGTATATAAGAAAATTTAATATAAAATTAGTACAAACGAAGAAATTACAACCGGCTCGAGACATTTACAAACTATATAAGACCTGCGATACGTATCGGTATTCTAGTCCAACAAGACTACTAGTAAAACCAACTATTGTCAATAACCGCACTGCTCAGTTTCGGAGCCAGTTATCTACAAACAACATTCTCTAAACTTCGAAGTACGGAAAAGGTAAGTAAAGGTTTGCATTGCCATTATTAACTATGCTTTCTTTAGTGTGTGCCATGTCTCGTGTTGGATACAATTATGTAGACCTTTATCACTCCCTTAGGAATCGTGAATGATAATATAAACCTAATATTGTTTCTTTCTTGCTTACTCTGCTTACTGATAAGAGGAACAATTTTAGTGATGTGTTTCATTTCAGAATGTGAAGCTGGTTACCACGGTACCCAATGCGATAAGAGTTGCCCGTCGAAGTGCAGAGACAATCTATGTAACCAGACGAATGGTTTGTGTACAGGTAAAGGATTATTTCTGAGATGAACTGGTTAATGCTGATATTGTATACAAAAGTGTTTACTAGGACGTATATTGTGTGAAGAAGTACTGCAAAGAGATCCGTGAGGATACACAATAAAAAAAGGTGCTTGTATGCATATAAAACATTGCTATTTCGTGCATCATAATGATAAAAAGATTAATGAGTCAAAACGAATTTGCATTAGCACAAACAAATCAGGCATGGAAAATGTTTTATCTTCATTTAAGAAATGTCATTATGTTTTAATATCAGAATGTGCTGCAGAATTCTATGGTGTCAACTGTTCTTTGATATGTCCAGACCATTGTAAGGACCAAAAGTGTAACCAGAAGAGCGGCCAGTGTACCGGTAAGATGCATGGATTAAATAAATTCTATTTGATATGTCTACAAAATCAAAGTTTAGCGATACAAATACACGTATTACCACCCGGTACATAACAAGTATAAATATAGAGACACTTGCAGTAATAGTCCACTGCTAAAAAGTGTTCAGGAGAATATGTGATCACTTTCTCTAACTTGCCACAGACAAAATGCAGATTCGATTACAACTAAAGATTATAATTATGTCCCAGAATGTGTTTCCGGTTTCTATGGAAACAGCTGTGCAGACAAGTGTGACTTCTGTCAGGATGGAAATTGTGACAAGCTTACCGGGAGTTGTTTGGCGCCTTGTGTAGACGGACGTACTGGAGACAGGTGTGATGTCAAGGGTAATTTTTACACTACTTAACTAACAAAAATCACTGTAAGAAATGATGTTCGAAAAGATTAATTTTGATGTAAACTTTGAATTCGAATTCGACAAAATTTGGGAATCATTTTAAAAGCGTGAAGAAATGGCATTCTTGAAAATCATTCAACTATCCTGCATGGGAATGCCATTTAAAATTTATTTCGTGGTGTTTTCGTATTTCACAACCCACACTTATTCCTTAATTAAATATATTTTCAAAAAGTAACCAAACATCATAAAACCATACCAAAAGAACTAAATGTTGATATACATTGTAAATCCAAAGCAGATGACTTAAAAGCAATATGTAAAGAAATAAGATACCCAGGTGACATACCATATGATAGTTAGTATTCCATATATTTCCTCCATGGTTAAATATAGTTTTTTTTCTCTGTACTCAGTCACACAGTCACACTTTTTACATACCAATTCGGACTGTATTCCTCTCGTGACTGACTGACTTCCTTTTGTTTTCATACGAGGATAAGTTAATAAAAAAGTGCACCAAAACAGGTCACAAAGACGCTGCCAATTCATTAAATGTCACGTTCAGAAAATATTCAAGATGATTAGTCTTTAGATAACAAAAAATATCTTGTATTTACCTATCATAATTAAAATCGAGGACAAGGCAGATTCTACTTCAATGAAACCAACTTCCACTTAACTGTTTGATTAGTGTACTCGATAAGAATTATGTTGTTTTGTATTGCTTTTTAACGTGTCGAAAAATCATATCTTATCCTAGTAATACTTCTTGGCAATCACATAATTTAAAACGTCGGGGATATATTTATCATCTCAAAAAACAAGAAAAACGCATGCAAAACCAATCAAGTATTTATATCATCATTATACAAAAGACAAATGCTCGAATAGAACTATTCAATACGAACATAAAGTAGAGGAATATATGTAAGAGTGACAAATTCCCGTTTTTGTAACTAATGTTATCAGAATTCAGACATTACTTTCGGCAAACCTGTATAACGAAAAGTAACATATTTATATCTATTGTTGTAGTTATACATTTAACGAGCTATGAAGCTGCAATTGGAATAGGCGTTGGTTGTGGACTTATCATTCTTGCGCTTATCATAGTGATAGTTGTACAAACAAGAAGACTTCATTCAAGGAGCAACGGATACACTCCGCCAAGGTCTACAACCACGACAAACATAGCATTGTCAAGTATTGAACAGGAACTTAGGAGAGATACAGGTAGGGCTTTAATTCTGACGTTTTCAGTCAAACACTATTATGGGCTTCTCGGTTCTGCAATGGCAGAAAAACCTATATCTTAAGGATGTACTCTTCTAATATTTGACCAAAAGTAGATTCGCTCATGAGCTACAATTTTGACGGCACTATTCGGTTAATAACGTCATTAATTTCAACGTTTTCTGGTTTCTAATGCATTTCTCAAACTGAAAATAAAGTTATCAGCAGATTTGAACTTAAACACTTTTTTGGGGGTGGGGGGTGGGGGGAGGGGGGGGGGTGGGGGGGTGGGGGGGGGGGGGGGGGGCGTAGTGTCACAATTTAAGCATGATGACTGCGTGTGACGCATTAATTTTAGACAACTTCCCAATGTGTTACAATAACATTGTCTATTCTGAAAATTTACTTCAAATTTTCTTTATTCAAACATTTAAAAAAAGTAAAATACTAGAAGATGGTCACATAAAGGACTTAAGCCATCTGGTGGTTGCATTTTCACAATATTATTCTAAATATCCATTTATTGTACTATTGCCTTTTAATGATAAGCAAAATATTTCATAGAAAAGGTTGATGTGAAAATAACTAAGAATTCCTTATTCCGGAAAAAAATAGGAGTAATATGGAAATGAAATTATTCCGTGTAACGCATTCTCTGACGCCTGTAAAAAATCTTAAGCAGCAGCATACTGATTTTAATTTCCTTTTCTAAAAAAAATCAAATCACAATTATCAGCAAAATGTTCTAAAATTCGTTTTGCTCTCAGAGGGGTACATACTAAAATCTAACCTGTGTGTAACTCAAGATCGCAGAGTGGACAATGGGTCAATCGTTAAATACAATACTACTTATCGGAATTGGTGATCGAAAGTAATATTTGTAAGTCGATCTTTTAAAATCATTAATAGTATATTTGTAACGCTTGTGGTATAACATTTTTCGTTTCATAAGATGGTCAATACGAGTTTATAGACGCGGTAAAAATGGAGCCTAGCGTCGTCGACACATCTCCCACTTTCAGACAGAGAGGAAATGAGGATATTGCACACATATACGAAAAAGCGTGATTGAGCGGCAAAGGAAAACAAATAGAAACTATAGGGAAACTTTCAAATTGAAACTTCATATCTTTATTTATGGTAAATGATTCCTCCTTGCTTTTTAATTCTTTATGACTTCATTTTACAGTTTTCTAGTGAACGGAACGAAAATATATCATAAAAATATATTCTGCATGTCGCAGTCAAAATTTGCCTTAAGATACTTGTTGATTCCAATGTAGTTATCACCATGGATTACAAATGCGTCTGTTATCTTATATCATGGCAAAACTAAGCTAAGGAGTTCAACAATGTATCTGTTATCTGTGAAATGTGGTCACTTTACTTTTGTTTGACAGACAGGTACCTGTATATAGTCGTAGTAGAAGGAATAAAGTATTCACTTTATGTAATGTAGTACACACACAAATAGTGCTCGAGTATTTTAACTCATGAAGACAGGACTCATGAGTGATACTGGATTTGTATGGCATCGATGCGGTTAACAGCTCATAAACAACGGAATTGTCAATAGAATCATAATCATTGAAAGTAAAACAAAATATGAATAAAAGGGAGGGTAATCGTCTTCTGTTTCATCTACCTGTTATATAAATATTAGTTATCGAAGTAAATAATGTCAGGTTCCATAATTAGACCACGGTAAACAACAACGGAACGTATATGTATGAGCGTCAAAAGGATCCAAAGTCATACCATGTAAAGAAATGATGTACGTCTAAATAGGAGCATTATGACGACCGTACGATATTGATATTATCGAAACTGTGTGATGTAAAGTTGGATGTTAATTGCCGACATAGGTTTTCATATTTGATGTAATGTTTTGTTTTCCCCTCCAGATCATTATAACTGAAATCGAGAAAGATAAAATATTGCATAAGACGCGTTATTCCGACTTTAAATATCTCATGTGATTTAAGGACGGAGTAACCATATGCTTTAGACAGTGTGTAACCACAGATCATTTTAACTTACGTCATAATATAATCAAATAATAGAAAAAAATAATGTTTAGAAATCTTTAAAATCACATCATAAACTGTGATATCAACTACAAATCAACCAGGATTTTACTTTCAATTTACCATACCATCAATTATCAGTAGCTTAGATTAACATTTTTAAAAAATGAGGTTAATCTTCTGTGATGTACGCTTAGCGTTTGATCGGGTCTGGCATGAAGGTTTATTGTAGAAATTCGAAACCAATGGAGAACAAGGAAATGCCCTGAAGTGGTTCCTGATTACCCTCTCTGGCAGAAAGCAAAGAGTAATAAATGAAGGTTTCGCTTTCATATTTAAACTTGTGCTAGCAAGGGCCCAGTTCTTGGTCCATTTTAGTTTTTACTGTAATAATGAAATCACAGATTGCGTCTATATTAGTGTGAAATTATTTGCAGATGACACCTCCCTATTTAGCTTTGTAGATGAAAACCCTATCATAGCTGCTCAGACTTTATAAAATGACCTCAGTAATATTTGTTTTTTATTTAGACTTTTCAGCAATATATGGTATTGATTACATTCATAGCATATCATATTCACTCAGACATCACACAGCTCACATGTACACTAGCTTGCAACATTGATAAAAAATACACATATATTACCTTATTAAGAGAAACAGGAAAAGAAGAAAAACAGAGGAGACTGGCAGAGAAAGAAAAACAGGAAAGGATGAAAAAAAAAAGAAAATATTAATAAATAAATCCTGATTTTGCGCTGTAACTCATCTATTTGCAAATATTAATATATATAGTAATTTGAAATAAAAATCAAGAAACTGATATAGGGGTTGTATTGTGTTTACCAGAAATCAAACTAAAATAACCTTTAATAATTTTTAATCTATAATTCTAGGAGGGTGTTCCATTTTTTCCATTCCTTTTCTAGTTTTTTAACAAAATGATCCCCTTTGCAACATGCTATATAATTTTGAACATAATAATGAACTTTTATGGTATTAATTAAGGCTTTTACGGATAGAGTATTTTGAAGGCATCTGGTCTTGTAAATATAATTCTTGATCATAATTAAAATTTCATTATCTAGTCTATTACTCGTTTCTGACTGTGATACTATGCCAAAGAGGAAAGATTCCTTGTTAAAAGAAAAAGGGATAATTAAAGCATCCAATAATGTTTCAAAGCTGTAGAGGAAATTTTGTAGTATCGAACAGTCCCACAGTGTATGCACTACTGTTTCCCTATCTTGATTACAAAAAACACATAAAGGGTTATTTGAAAGGCTAGATTTGAATAGATATACATTTGTTGTCAGTGTGTGATGGAGAATTCTTACTTGGAGCCATTGAAGTTTTGTATTTGTAGTTATTCGAAATGGAATTTTATGTATTTTTCCCATTTTTCGTCGCTAATATCAAATGTTTTCCCCCATTTCTTCCTACCTGTTGGAATAACCTTATTGTTTAGAGAGTAGTACATAAAAGTCCCTAGCTCCTTTAGTGTTGTTGTAAAAGATTTCTAAATTAAGAGGCATAATTGGATACTCTAAATCTGCTCTGAAATTATGCCCAATATTATTCTGATTTATATATCTTCTAATTGCTGATAAGATACCATAATATTGAACAAAATTCGTATTTATATTGTATTTGTTATTAAATTCATCATGCATATAGAAAGTATTAGTGTTGAAATTTTTTATCATGTCATTAAAAATAGTAATTCCACGTCTGTACCATTCAGGGAAAAAAAACACACTTCCGGTTTATAGTTAACCTCTCAGTATACCATAGCGGCTGTTTTAAAAATGATGGTTCCTTTTCCTTTAAAAGATCTTCTTTATAGGAAAGTTTACTCCAAGCTTTGAAAACATCTTTCCAAAACAAGTTTGTACTTCTATTTTGACATACAGATATATATTTACTACCACAGTTAAAAAGAAGGTCAGTATTGATATATGTTTTTAATATTTCCTGCCATTTTCCTTGTTTTTGAAGAAGCCTCCTTATCCAATTTAATTTTAAAGATTCTATAAATGACAATAAATGAACCATATTAAGACCTCCCTCTCTATAATTTTTAACAACAACATCTCGCTTAATTTTATCTATCTTTCCATTCCAAAGGAATTCATACAGGATACTATTAAGTTTAAGAATAAAACTCTCACTTGGATTAGGTAATGAATTAAACATGTGGTTGAATTGGGATATCATTAATGATTTTTTGATATGTATTTTACTTATAGGTGAAATAGATCTTCTTTTCCATGAACTGATGATAGATTTAGCTTAACAAGTTTTTTTATCAAAGTTAAGTTTAGGTATTCTGTGTAAATCAACATGAAATTCTACACCAAGGAGCTGAAACTGTTCTGCACCCCACTGAAGATTTACTTCTGGCAATAAAATGTCATTACTGTATTTCCTACTCCCTATCCATACCACTTGTGTTTTATTCAGATTTATTTTTAGACCAGATATTCTAGCAAAAAACATTCAATTCTTTTATAGATTCATTAATTGATTCCTTTGATCCATCTAATATAAGCGAACTATCATCTGCATATTGAGAACAAATAATTGGAAAATTGTTAACATTTATCCCTTTAATTTTTTCGTTATTTCTCAACCGGATTGCTAATATTTCCGCACAAAGAATAAAAATATACGGTGCGATCGGTCGCCTTGACGACAGCCTCTTTTAACACTAAAAAATTGAGAAAGATTACCTCCTTGGTTTATAGCAGAAATAACATTACAATGTAAAACCTTAATCCAATTCCTAATGCTATTCCCAAAATTAAAAAACTTGAAAACTTCATCAATAAATTTTCACGAGACAGAGTCAAATGCCTTTTCAAAATCTATCATAAGTAACATCCCAGGTATGTCATTTTCTTCAGTATAGTGCATTATGTCATAAATGAGCCTAGTATTTTCCCCTATATATCTACCTGCCAAAAATCCTG